CACACACACTCCACACAACCTCAAACCCCCAAACCACACACACTCATACACACACACACTCACACACACACACACACACTCACTCACTCACTCACTCACTCACACACACACACACACTCTGGTGCTAATGGTTTTTCTACTGTACAAACTGTATTTTCTATCCCCTTACCCTGAACCTCCCCCTCACACAAAACTACAGGCATTTTTAGATTCTCAAAACACTTGTTTCCTCATGGGCACCAAAAAAAATTTCCCCACAAGGACAAAATGTACTGGAATTACTATCCTTTTGGTCTCTTTAACGTAGGGAATACCGGGACCCCGACACACTCACTCACTCACTCACTTGTATTTTACACCAAAATCAGAATAAATTAATTTTCATAAAGAAAACAAAGCCTGTTTGTAAGACCATCAAGGTGTTTTGTATTCATATCAAACTAATTTAAACCCAAACATTCTTGTCACTGTGAAAATACTGTAATTGTTTACATGCAAACATTTTTTATTACACGTTTTCTGAAATGTTATGTTTAAATATGCAAATGAGGCATTCTCTAATTAAATATGCACTAATTTGCATGAATTTACTGAACATAAATCTAAACATTGGATAAAGTCAGGTTCATAATTCCTGCTAGATTTTCTGGTCATTATTAGAGTTCAAGGTTTCTCAGAGGGGATTCACTCCATAAATCAGAAAATACTGCATCTTCAGGATCCTCAGAATCAGGCTTTCATGTCCGGCATGCAGTATTAATGTCTTGTGTCTTGGACGTCGATCAGGAGTATTGAGGACGAGTATTGTGTTGTGTACTATGATGTAAACTCTGTTCATCTGCGTCTCCGTGAAGATGAAGAGGAAGGAGCGTTATTAGCGCTATAAAGCTCTGCGCTCATGTCACGGGACAGGTTCATTTGAAAAGCCTCATTAGATGCTGAATATGAGCCGTTCCTGAAGGAAACGACTGATCCGCTGATTGCCTGAATTTCTCCATGAGATGAATAATAACGTGAGTTTCTGCTTGTCTCCTCAGAGAGTATCACGTCTTCTCCTTCTGCACGGAGATGAACGCCGAGCGCATCGGCTGCTTCTGGCCGAACCCAGCGGTGGAGCGCTTCATCATCAGCATCCACAAGCACTTCTTCTCCAACTGCAGCCTGGAGCACGTGGTGTTCGTCGACCCGCCGGACGACACGCTCACCCTCCTCATCCTCGTCCCCGTCTTCCTCACGCTGGCCATGGTGGTGCTGGTGGTGTGGTGCAGCAAGCGGAGCGACATCCTCGCCTAGCCT